TGACAATCAGACACTCCAGACCCGCGAAATTTAATTATTAGTAATTCCGGGTACTTTTTGAACACACCTCGTATATTGTTTAAGGTAAAATACGTTAGAATTATTAAGTAGAAGAATTCATTCATCTACTTTATATTATTTTTATAGCTACTTTTATTAAAATAACTTATTGGTATTTATAATGCCTTGCTCGTTCACATGGATTTATTATTTATGAATTTATCTATTATTATAAGATAATGAATAAGAAAGATTTTTGTTAAACATTGTAAAAGGTGGTATCGCTAAATTGACATTCTTGTCGTGTGAAATATAAAAATTTAGTCATCCCAAATTCCAATCCAACAATATATATCTCTGTCATAAATTTTAAGCGACACGCTTAATAATTTATATTCTGCATAAGTAAATATCTGGTTATCACAGTATTATAAATCAGAAAACAGGTTCCTTTTGGTGCGATAAACACCAAAGGAAATACCAATATCGACTTATCAGTATCAACTGTTCCAAATAAATATCAAATATTTGTAATTGAAAAGAACTTAGTAAGTTAATATATATCTTACTAATTGGTTTATTTCGTAAATTTTTGATTCATCCACATTAATATTTATAATCTTTAATTCCATGTTTTCTTAAAAAAATTCTTTGTAGCTGTTTTTATAATTACATGCAATTGCTTCCTTAGGCTAATAATATACAAATAAGTTTCTTATAATATTAGTAAGTTTTTTATGAAGAGGAACTATTGTCCCCATTATTGTGAAAGGGTGTATTATTTCATATACTATTATATAGAAATTAAAATTAGACTAATGTAAATATCAATTCTAAATACAAACTACTTGAAGTGGCATTTTGCCTTAAGGTAATTTGCATGAACTTCCCGACAAGTGTAAATAATCATCTTAATCAATAATAAATCAATATATTAATTCCAGTGTGGCTTCATAATGTGAGAACTACTTCTATGCTATTTTTTTATTACCCATTATTAAAAATCGAACACGTGCCTAATACAATTTGGAGTATGTATTTTATAAAAGCGCGGCCTAATAATTAAAATTTCACTAAATTTTATAATTGAATCACTTTCCGTAGTACTATGTTTTTATTTGTTCATTAAGGCCAGGGTACTCCATCGCTATACCAAGAATCAATAAAATCATCGATTTTTTTTAAATCAATTTCAGATCAAATTGTCAATATGATTAATATTTTATTTTTCCATGTCGTTAGTATAAATTTGGTGAGAATTCGGGATTCACATCGGCTGATTTATTTTTTTACACTCATTCATTCATTTTTTAAAGGCATATTGAGAGGATCGTATAATGTTCATGAAATAAAAAATGATGGATTAAGAATGCTCTAGTTACCGATATACAAAAATTTAGATTATTATTTGAATATAACCTGGCCTCTGCTTTAATTTTAATTTTAATCTTTGTTGGCATAAGCATATATCACATACGTCTTAAACTAAAAACGGATGGAATTCAATAAAATATTATACAGGTAAAGAAAAAGTAAGAATAGTGTTTTATGAACTAGTTTCAAAATGAACTCATTAATTCTTATTGATTAAGTATATTATTACCACATTGGGGAAGTTTGCCTTTAGGTAAAATGCCACTACACAACCAAAGCCTTTTAATTTAAATAGCAAATGATTTGTATGCTTTACAAATACTTATTAATTTTAATAAATTGAGCATTTAACCACCTACAACATTGTTCATTTATTTACTCAAAATTTTATTCAAATTCTACTTAACAAATCCAATACTATTTTCGATTTCGAGAACACCGATTACCGATTTGAATAGTTAAGAAAACATTCGATTCGTATTGATAATGAGACGTGCTGATTAACTTTTGGCGAAGGCCGAAGGTCTAGCCGTTCCGAAGATACGGGGCAAAAGGTGCCAAAAACAGTAACTCAGTTTTTGAGAGAACGGAGCATCCGATTTTAATAATTCAAAAAACATTTTACTTGTATTGACAAGATGAAGAACTGATTAAATTTTTGGGAAGGCAGGTGTAGCGGTTATGGACTATAAATGAAAATAATTTTAAAAAAATGTCATTTGGCGGTCAAAAATGTTTATTGAACATATGTACATCAAATTTTCCGATATTTTATAGAGATTTTAATAATGTGTACACATTTTGTGTAATTTTTTTGGAGTTTCGTACCAAGAATTAATTACGGCACGGGAAGTTCCAGCAATTTGCCTTAAGGCACGAAGCCATGCACCACACTAGTTTTTCTCAAATTTTAAGTCAAATTTGATCAGATAGCGAGTCGAACACGCTACTATGCTCGCTATTTTAAAAAGTTTACCATGAAATACTTTTAAATAAAAAGTAGTAAAGAAAAATATTAGTTAGGAAAAGATTTGTTCATATATGCTAAATGTTTCAACATCATATTAGTTTGCAATCGACGTATATATTTGTGACTCATTTTGCCTGAGTTACGTTCAATTTCGTAAAACTTTCGCTATTCACTTACATAAGTTGACTTCTTTCAATTTAATGAATGTCCGTGGTCGTTGCTACTAGCGTAGTAATTGCGGCACTGCTTGCTAAACAATGGAATCCTGGAAAAACCAGCGTATGATCACGATCCGAACGATAGTATATAATAAGTACATGTTTAATATATTCCATATATCTATTTATTCTCTGCGTAAGTTTTAAATAGCGCAATACACTCTAGCTGTTATGTCGTAATACAGGTAAATCATCATCTTTAATTAACATGATGCGGATGCAGGGGTTTTCGAAAAATTGAGATAACAGAAATTTACACCCACCGTAATTGTGAGGTGTTTAAAAAATACCAAAAACTAATGGTGCTATGGCATCGTGTCTTAAGATAAATTGCTGGAAAATCCCGTACCGTAATTTAAATTTAAAAAAAACTAACTTTAAAAAAATTAGATTTTTGAGAGTTTTGTAATTTTTGAAAAGTTGGACTTTTTTAAAACTTTGAGTTTTCTTATATGCTGAAATTTTTTAAAACTTTGAAACTACAGGATAGACATTGGTACGGAACCATTCCTAATAGAAATGTAGTCAATTTTTTTATTTATTATAAAATTCTATAAGATATAACTATAAAGTATATGATAATTTGATGTGCATATGCCTAATGAAAGTTTTGATAGTTTTTTATTGGATCTCCGAAATCGCTGGACTTGCCTTCCCAAAAATTTTATAAATTCTTCATTTTGCCAATACAAATAAAATACTTTTTGAATCATTCAAATAACGAATCACCATTTTTTAGTTTTTGGCAAAAGTTAGTCAAGGGTTAATAGAAATAAAGTTTGTTAGAGAACGGAGTATCCGATTTGAATGATTCAAAGAAACATTCCTGGTATTGATTTAATGAAGACGTGGTTAAGTTTTTGCAATGGCAGGTCTAGCGGTTCCGGAAATCCAAAAAAAAGTAAAAAAAATTCCATTTCCTGGACGAAAATCAGATATTTTCGACATTCGCCTGGATCCTGGATATGAATGGGTATCAAAAACTTTTAAGAAATTTCAAAATTAACCACTTAATGCTCACATTTTTTAAAAATTTATTAACAAAATATCATATTTTTTTTATTAATGCAATGCGTTTAGAATGTTAATACTATGAGATAAATACAAAAAATTTTTTGTATGGTTCAGTTTATAGTAACAAATTAAGAAATCAAGTCACATACCCGAAAAACGCCTTGATGTATTATTAAATTTGATGTATTGAAGTTATATTTTTTTTTACATTAATATATATAGTAAAATAGAATAAAATTTTATAAATCTCTTTTGGTAGTCCGATTGTCTAACAAGTTGCTATAAGTTTTCCTATAAACAAAATGAGTTTGTTCGTGTGCAAATTTACCAGTTTTGTGCGAACGAATTCAAATCGGCCGTAAGCATTTAGTGGTTAAAAAAATTTTTTTTTTCAAAAAAATTGCAAGTTTTTAAAAAATATCTTTATTTTCAAAGGAGGCTATTATATAAAAAAAAATTTCAATGTCCAATAAAATCGCAAAAAAATCTAATTGATTTTTCTAATTTTGAAATGAAATTTCTGAGCTTTTAAAAGTTTTAAATTACTGTAAGGAAAGTTCCAGGTATTTATCTTAAAGCACGATGCCCATCTAGTTATTTTTGTATTTTGGCGCTGATGAGTAGTCTAAATTTACAGTTATTAATTAAATATCTGAACTATCTAAGTTATTAATTAAATTTCTGATTTTGAAGTATTAAAAATAATAGTAATAATATATAGTACATTATAGTAAATAATTTGTGGCGAGCATAGCTCTTTGGTATCGTGTTCGATTCACACGACAGGGATCCTCGGATCAAATTCTGTCAATGACTTAGAATTTATGAAAATAATATGTGTAGTTAATATGAAATCAAATGAAAATTGTATTTGTTAAATAGAAGTTTAATAAAAAATAAGAAAATTAGGAATAACAGAATTCGAATAGTTGAATTGAATTAGGAGTAAGAAGAGAAATATTGGAGCTTGAAAGAAGAATAAAGAAAATAAATTGAAAGAAGCTGAAAGAGCAAGAATTGAAGAAAATAAGAAGAAAAATTAAGAAGAATGTAGAATAGGATACATAAATAGATTGAAATTGATATAAAAAATTAGAACGTAAATAAATAAAAATGTTGTAGGTGGCTAAATGCTCAGAGTAAGCGAGGCCAAATAAAGTATATATAAAAAAAATAATAATTTGATTCACGCTTGAACAACTTTTTAATAATTTATTTATTTAATTTTAATTATTATTAATTATTTTTTAACAGTTTATTCACTACCCAAAATACTACATATATAGCTGTTAACTCCTTATCATTTGTTCAGTATAGTCAGTAGTTCAAACATAACGATTATACTGGATTATATTCTTCGCATCATGTGATTGATGTTCATTAATATCAATTTTAACCATGATTTTATTTTATTTTATTTTCAGGCTCAAACAGTACCATGTGGCAACGAATCGCCCGATTACCATTCTTTTGCGGCAAGTTTCGATCTTTCGCTCCTGCCCAGCGAAGAATACGCGGACGGCGAGGTACCTTGCTCGCCGCGCTTTCGGCAACCGCAATTCAACCGCGAATTCTACGATAGCGCTACAGCAGCAAACGCTACGGCCGCCGATGTCAAGAAGATCGAGGCCGATGTTTACAGGTAGATAGTAGTAAAAGACTTATTAAATTTAATTTTAGGTTTAAATAGACTGAATTTTTTAATTCATCGTAGAAGTATTTAAATCCCTATATTTATTTATTTATTTCATTCAAACTTTTTAACTCAATTTTATTTACTTTACAATTAGATACACATTTTTAATGTAATAGAAATTATGAAACACCATTGAAATGTTGTCGTAAGTAATCATTCTTTGCATATGTTTTATCCAAACATTTTCTTCGCCTTAAGCAAAATAACATGCTACAACTTCACTAGTATGAGGTCTACTACTGGGTAGCCTTATAACAAAATCAGTTTTATTTTATCAGTACAATTACTTAATGTCTCTAAAAACAGCTTGCAATTTATATTAAATAAAAAAAATCTAAATATAACATGCATCGTGTTTTTTCAATAATTTGATTGATTGAATTTTGAAGGACCAATTATAAAATACTTTAATTATACCTGAATATATTTATTTTATATTAATTACAAGTTATAAGTGTATTTACAATAATTTTAATATGTTGTTTTTGATAACGTATTGATTGACTTGATTTTTGTGTGATTTTCGATTGATGATTTTTTGTTTATATTCAATATAACCGCATGCTTTGATTGGCGCGAACACATCGATATTTCATAAATTCTATTTAGTGTTATTAATATTTTATTATTACAGATCGTATATCTGATAAATTAAAATGAGTCTTTCCCTTGGTCACGTTTTTCTAGACCAAGCGTAGACGTCGGCGATTATGTTTTGTATAAACCCTAGTTTTGATTCAATCAAAAAACGTTAAATTACCTAGGCCCAAAATATAGTCCAACTATTTCATGAGTAGTTAAGATTTATGCTAATCAAATAATGTCAGAAACTAGTTGTAAGTAGAATTTTGCCTTCCTTGAGGCAAGTTGCACGAAGTTCCCAATACGTATACCTACCTACTTGATCAATAACAATTGAGAATCAGCTACATAGATTAAATATTCAACTCGAATTTCGAAATTCGAAAATAACATTTTCGTTTTCACTAAAAAATGATCTATATAGTTTGATGTCTTTCAAACATACATATAATATCTGTTAAACTAACTTTAAACCTTTAAAATTAATTTCTTTAACACATATGATTTGAATGAGCTGATTAGAATCGCTCAAGTTTGCAGCAAAATTCCAATCGGATGATTTTTTTTTATCATTCGACAACTTATCGTAAGCCTGCAATATGTTAGTATATTATTTCCAACTGCAAAATATATCGTTAAACAAAGTATTAATCACGAAGAAACAATCATCCGACCGATCCTCGCCAAAAACTAATAAACGCGATTCCCAACAAATTGTTCCGAGCAGTTTTCAAATTTTTAAAATAGATTCAAAATTCTGATCTAGAACGTGGACGAAAAATTTTACACTTTTCTGCTAATTACAAAAAACGGCTTGGCCGATCGTCGCACAAAATTGACAAACGCTAGTCCTTATCGGGCTATATCGAATGACTTTTGAAATCGGACCAGACGTTTTTCAGCAAAAGTCAATAAAATATCAAAAATTGGCTCACACACACCACAATTTTCCAAACTTGATCTCATTTGATTCAAAATGACCTAAAACATAGAAAAACATAAGACTAGCAAATCGGATTTTTTTGCGAAAATAAACTTTCCCTTTGGGAAGTTAGTAATTGAAAATTTGACGACCCCTTCTGAAATGTCTATGTATTAATGCCTAACGCGTGCCGTATTTTCTAGGAATTTTACCTATATATTTTCTCTTATTTCAACTTTAAAAATGTAAACTAATAACTGTGCTAAATTTAAAACACAACCCTAAGAGCGATTTTTTAACGGCCTGTAGTGACTGCTGGCCGACAGTGGGCAGCCCATGATCAGCCAGCAGTGATATACTTTTAGCATTAAAGAATGGATTTAGTGTAAATATACGAAAATAAATTGAATAGAGCGTTTGTATAGATTAAGTATAATATGAGTAATAATTATTACTTATTAGTTTTTACCTAAAATATATGTGATCATTATAAAATTCTCAAAATGCGTTGATGCTGTGACGTCATTTTTGCGGGCATGATCGTAGTGACGACGGTCCCACAGTCATTGCTGGCGAATGCTGCATAGGGAATAGATCTATAAAATAGTTAATTTGCAATCAAAATAAATTAAATCTTGTAAATAAAAAATTCTATCTTTCCAAATAAAGCGGCTACGAGTTCGACACACCACCACGTTCGGAGTACGGTGACAACGAATTTGTGCCGGTTACAATTCTACGTTATGCGCCCACAAATACCGAATCAGCTTCGGTTATGTCGCCGCCCTTACTCCCGCCCTCGCCTTTGAGTTCCTGCTCCAGTGCACCTGCTTCACCAGCTTGTTCTTCGCCTGCAAATTCGGCCATTATGTCTCCTGATCTTTCTCTTGTAAAAATGGAATCAAATGCATACGACGCACGGGATCATGAGACGCTACGAGGGGCGCTTGAAGATACATCTTTCCAACGAAGGTATTTATGCTGATTTTATAGATGTATCGATAAATCGATGATGTGAATATGCAAGATTGAAATCACATTAAGGAAGTTTTTTCTTAATCAAATCAGCTGAGGACTTCCCAGTTTACTATGTTTAAAAAATCAAATCATTTCCGAATCGATGACGTCATCGAACAATTGCTTTTATATCGCTAATCTTGAGACTTGCTCTGCAAATGTTGTTCTGCAACATCCACGTAAAGAAGACGATTTTTTGTGATCATTATTTTTAAAATTATTTTTTGTAAATAAATTTAGAGTTTGCTCTTTAATAGTGAGTAAAGGAATAGAACGAAAATTTAATAACTTTTTTATAATTTGTTTGATGATGATCTTTTCTCTTTTCTGTGATCTAAATGACAATTTTAAAAAACTTTTCGATATCAAGAGTATTTATTTTCAAGATTGAATTTGCGCCCACTGTCGTTGGAAGCGTTGTGGCCTTCGACAGGCAAACAAGATCGTGACGAAATTGCACAAGAAGAATTAGATGGAAACATGGATTTTTTACACATGGATCTCGATTTTGATGGATTGGAGCAATTAGACGTTGAGGAAGATTTACGCCCAGTTTTGTCAATGGCTTTGGAGCAGGTTAAGAAGGATGTCATGGCCACTTGCTCTCTGCTCAATATTTCTCCAGGTAAATTAGGATTCTAATAAATGAAATTTATTTAGCATTTGGTTACAAATCTGCGAGATTTCTAATATTTGCATCGATTTTTAACAAATAGATCCATGTGCTTGGAGCGTGGAGCAATCTCGATCGTGGTTAAAATGGACTGCAGCGCAATTTTCCCTTCCTGCTCCTTGTGAATCAAATTTCAATGAGGATGGATCGGCTCTAACTCAATTGCCAGAACACGTATTCGTAGCCAGAGAACCTCAGGTTAGTCTTTGAATTTTATGATATCTTTTTTAATTATATCTAATTTGCAAATAGATTTTAAAACGAAAGTTTAAATTAAATAAATAAAGATATGCTTAAGTTTACATCTGCGATTTACTTGATTCTATATTTTGTAAACAGATACATTTTTTTTTAATTTCATACATACATAGATTTTATTGATAGATTTCACTTAATATTAAATTTTTAATTGAGTCATTTTAATTTCTTAATAATTATTTTAATAGTTATATTATCAACTTTGACTATGAGAATGAGAAATAATATAATTCATGATACGTTTGAGCAAGTTTAGATGTCACATTTAGATATTTCTCTCAAATCCAATTTTTATTTAATATTATTTTATAAAATTTATATAACCTCATAAGAATTGAATCTTAAGCTCTGTTCTGGTTTACGATTCAAATCGAGGTTTGAATTTTTTAAATTTTGGTGTTGGCGTTAAATTAGTTTTTGTAGCAATAATTTGAGGAGATAAAACATATCTGACCTATACCATATGTCATATACAAGATTGATTGTAAACAAGTTAATAACGATAAGAAAATTGTTTTCGTAGTCGGGTAGTATACTGTATGCCCAACTTGAGATATGGAAAGCAGCCAGATTGGAACAATGTTTGCAGTGCGGATCTGAAGGTGAGATAATCTTTTTTTTAATTATTTTTTTTAAACATAGATTGTTAAATTTCTTATAAATTAAATCACAGATATTATGAGTTTATATATTGAATATTTTTATGGAAATTTTAAAATATCAACACAATACGAAATATCGAGTAGTTCATTCCATAACTAGTGGAACTTTTCGTGACGTAAAATTTTGATTTTTTTGATAATTTTGAAATTTTCAAAATTTTGAATTTTTCAAACCGTTTTAGAGACGGAATATTAGCGCCGCGTTGCAGTCTAATGGTTGAACTTACAAATCTTGATACAGAACCCCTAAGAATGTAAAAAAAAGCAAGTGGGGCGCATGGCATCGTGCCTTAAGGCAAATTGCTGGTAATTCCTGTACCAAAAATTATTTTTTTTTTTTTAAAAAAATAACATTTTTGAAAAAAAATTACTCTGAAAAAATTAGATTTTTGAGGAACTATAAATTTTTGAAAAAATTTACTTTTTTTGGAAAAAGACTTTTTGAAAAAAAAAAATAATTTGAAATATTTTGGAAGTTTCAAAGCAATCGTACTGCTATAACTGCATAGAGACGAAATATCAAAGCGCGTAAGCGCCGCGTCGCCGTCTAACGGATAAACATTGGTACGGAAACCATAGAAATGTAAACAAAATTTATACTTATTATTAAAATCTCTATAAAATATCTGATAATTTGATGTGCATATGTCTAATAATCATTTTTGACCGCCAAATGGCCTTTTTTTTTACTTTTTTTACTAGACCTCGGAAAACGCTAGACCTGCCTTCATGAAAATTTGATCAGTTTTTCATCTTGTTAATACAAGTAAAATTTTTTTTGAATTATTCAAATCGGACGCTCCGTTCTTTTAAAAACTGAGTTAAGTTTTTGGCTCTTTTTGCCCCATATCTTCGGAACTGCTAGACCTGCCTTTGCCAAAAACTAATCAGCACGTCTCCTTATCAATACAAATCGAATGTTTTTTGAATTATTCAAATCGCTTCATCCGTGTTCCCGAAATCGTTTACGAAAATTTGTATGCGCACACACACGTACACGCACACACACACACATACACACACATACATCCATTTTTTCCAAGGTATGCCAAAATGCTCAGAAGGTTTTAAAACGTAAAGATATATAAAAAATTTCATTTCCGATTTTAAAGTTAAAAATCATACTTATTATTAATCTGATCTCCGAAACCGCTGGACCTGCCTTTGAAAAATTTTAATCATTTTTCATTCAGTCAATCAAGTAAATAGTTTTTCGAATCATTCAAATCTGTCCTTTCAAAAACTGAATTGCTGTTTTTGCACTATTTGGACCGTTCCTTCAAAAAGGCTAAACCTGTCCCTGCCAAAACCTAACTAGCACGTCTTCCTATCAATGGGAATTGATTTTTTTGAATAATTCAAATCGATTACTCTGTCCCCACGAAATTGTGTGTCGACGAAAAATTGTATCCGCACATACATCCATATGCTTATGTTAATATATGTTTATACATTTTCAATAAATGTTTGAGTAGTTACTACCAGGTACCAGCAATGTCTGATATGAATTCTTTACAATATAATTTTAATTACTCCAGAGGAAAAAAAGTTAATGTGAAACTAAAACGACTGAAACGTTAAAAATATTAATCAATCCTGAAATTTATATTTTTCAATTTCTGTTTTTAATTGAAATTTTATTTATGTCGATTGGTAAAAAAATGTTTCAGTTTTCTATCAACAATGTTAGTTAGTCGCATATATATAAACATGAATTCTTTGCAATATAATTTTAATTATTCCAGAGAAAACAATTTTAATGACAATCTAAAACGACTAAACGAATAAAATATCAATCGATCCTGAAGTTTAGCTTATATATTTTTTTTATTAGCATCGTGATGCGATGCACGCGTGTACGATGCTTTCTTCAACCTACTTTTACTACGACGCGCGGCTAACATTTATAATGAGTGTGAAACACTTGATGTATACCATATTAGAAGATGAATAATTAGTTTGCAAATATTTATAATTACAGTATTTTACTAACCACACAAAATAAACTTTTGCTAACATAACGGTAGAGTTTTAAGACTTATTTGCTAAAATGGGAATGGGCATTTGATCTGTTTTCGAACATTATTAATATATTTAAAAATCACATTTAATTAGAACTTGTTTAATACATTAACTTTCCGTAGGCTAAGTTATAGTAATCGCAAAAAATCGAAATGAAAATGAAAAGAAATATATCCTCAGTTGGATTTATTCAGCAACAACTCTTCTTAACGTAAACATTTTCAAGTGTTTTGTTACTGATAGTTACTATATATTTCATTTAAAACAATTGTTATTAATCATTGATCACACGATGCCATGCACCACTAGTTAACTTCCCGAAGGAGAAGTTTATGTATTCATCAAAAATCCGGTTCGCTAATTTCATGTTTTCTCGACGTTTCAAGCCATTCTGAATCGAATGAGACTAAACTTGGAAAAAGTATATGGGTGTGTGTGCCTAGGGCTAGCTCACATACTGTGTATGTGAATAGATTTTTTGCCGTAAATTGACGTTTACTCAAAAACGGCTGGATTGATTTCAAAAATTTAAAAGCCATTCTATGTATCTCGATGAGAATTAGCGTTTACCAAATTTGCGCTAGGATCAGCCAAGCCGCTTCTTTGTAAATCGCAGAAAAGTGAAAAAATTTTCGTCCACATTTAAGCTCATACTATACCGAATGGATTTTAAAAAAAATCAAAAACTGTTCGACAGATATTAGTTGGGAATGAGACTGATTAGTTTTAGGTGAACATCTACCGAGCCGTTTTCTTGTAATTAACTTTGAAAAAAAATTTAACCGATTTTTATGGAACTTTTTTTTGCGATATATATCATGGTCTTATAGAACTTACTGAAATATTAAGGTATTACGACAAGTAGTTTAATTTCAAAAAATCATCAAAGTTTGAGAACATGATTAGTTTTTTTTTTGTAAGATGACCATATTTTTTTGCATGAAATCCGGGATGGATTATAATGAGTTAGAGAGCGGGGGAAGGGGGGGGTGTTGGTGAGCTAAAAATTTATATGCACATTTTAAAATCAAATTTTCTAGTTGAAATATATTGAAAAAAATATTGGCAATCAAAACATTTTTAAAAATCGGGGACAAATATTGCTTTTAGAAAAAAACCGGGACGCAAGGCGAAAAATCCGGACTGTCCCGGCCGTATGGTCCGTTTGTTAAAATTAAAATTAGACGATTACTTGGTATAACGATATAGTACCTGGTGTTCATTCATTTGTAATTATGCGTAATGAATCCACTCGGAATACTTTTAATCACTCATAAATTAATTTAGTTTTTATTGATTAAGTCGATTATTTACACATATCGGGAAGTTCATGTAACTTGCCTCAAGGCAAAATACCAATACCAACTAGTTTTTTCCTCTATTTATCCGTTAAACAATAATTTGCTTTCCATATGAAATTATATATAGGTGTTTGCGTATTTGTATATTCAATTAATAATTATTCGCAGCCGAAGATGAGGAACCTCCATCCCTAACAATGCCCTGTGATACTGACGACGTTTTGGACACAGCGAACTTTCTGGTAGGTCTGCACCCTCGCCTGCACCTTCTACCAACGGAAACGGTACCGGTACTCAAAGACAAGGTAGTTCACATATTCACCTTTGGCAATTTTTAAAAAGAACTTCTAGCGGGTCCTCAGACTCACGGATCGGCTATTCGCTGGATCGATAGAAGCCGGGAGTCTTCAAAATAGAAGATTCGGTCCGAGTCGCCAGACTTTGGGGAAAACGTAAAAAAACAGCCTGCTATGAACTATGATAAATTATCCAGATCGATAAGACAATATTACAAAAAAGGCATTATGAAGAAAACAGAACGCAGTCAAAGACTCGTTTATCAGTTTTGTCATCCATACTGTTTGTAAGTTTTTTTTTTTATCGCGGTATTTTCTTGCCAATTTTCTTGTACGAAAATCAGCAATGAATGTACAAATGCTCTCCCGTTTATTTATCGTACATTATCATGTGCACGATATTAAATATTTTGTATCAACAAAAAGGTAATTTTTTGTTGATCTATAAGTGTATGTATAACAATACAAATTTTATTTCTTAAGATAATTATATTTATGTATATATTTTGTGCTTACCAGCTATTAGTTGTCGATCGCTTGATTGACTTCGACTGCTGGTGATCTTTGGTCCCATATATCTATGATATGTATTATGAGAGTATGTTCTATGAACGGTTGTTATAGATATTTAAGGAAATTTACTAGGATAAAAATTTTAAACATAAATTATTGCTCGATCGGCGCGCGTTTTGTAGTAAATTAAAAAGTTTTTATTATCTATAAAACTTTTTTTTAATATTAATTTTAATTTATTCTAGTTTAAGTTCTATATTATATTTATATTCAAATTTATTATAGTTTTAAATGACGGATGACACTATAGTCATTATCACCTAAAATTTTACTTAGCATTGTAAATATCATATATTTTATTATTCGTAATTAATAATACCTACTATATATCATAATTTGAAGTTTGTTGAAATTAGTTAATGTAATTTATTTAGTGTAAATATGTATTGGTATAATAATAAGAGCTAATTTGAGATAAGAGCTCATCTCAAATTACTTCTTGTGAACTGAAATATACATCGAACTGTTAATCTATTTATTAGATATACCTATTTCTGCGTTTGTAAGTATATATACCTAGTAAGTAATATATCGTAAAGTTAAATGTAGATAACTAAGCCATTGTTTTTAAAATTTTTCTATAAATATTAATCACTACATTTTTTAATCGTTTTGATGTGAATAATTTATTCTTCGTTCTTAATTAATACATTATAATTGATTACATTCAAAATATGGTTTTGGGTTTCTAAATAAATTAACTTTACTCTAAAAATTATCTTTTTATTTTCTTTCAGTTCTTAAGGGTCTATATGCCTAAAATTTAATCTTTACTTTGTCATTCTCTTTTAGCTTGCTGTATCTATCCTACTTGTTAAATCTCATAGTATTTTATATTTTATAATAATTGATTTAAGTAATAACAGTATGACGTGCGGCTTTGAAAAAAATTATAATTAATTCAAAGAATTTCCTGACATTTCTTTCATTTTTTTCTACTATTGTTTTCTAATTCTATGTGTTACAAAGACATGATGGAATTTGTGGTACCAACTTTTTGACTCACATTTTATATTTCTAATTATGTAAATCCTATTATTTTGTTTTATTTCTTCTTATACCTAAATTTGATATGGCTCGAAACAATCCAAAACAAAGTTAATTGATTATTACCTAGCAACAGTAATTTAATGCAAATGTCAAATTCCAGTGAAATTATTCTTACGATACTCGATCTAAATATGAAAAATTCAACATATAAAATGTATAGCTGAATTTTAATCAAAATGACTGAAATTATAAAAACATCACCTTCAGAAGAAACGACATTGCACAACAGGGGATACAAACTTTAAGACAAGAAACTGGGCGAAGGTTCCTACGCAAAAGTATATTTGGGCGAATTCAAAACCGACTCAGAATCCGATAAGAAATATCAACTTGCTTGCAAAATAGTTGACACTACTAAAGCGCCGAAGGATTTTGTTAAGAAGTTTTTTTACAAGGGAGTTGGAAATTTGATCAAAACTGAATCATCCTCATGTAGTGCACGTACACAGTATCTTCCAAAGAAGGGCCAAATATTATATTTTATGCGATTTGCTGAGAATGGCGACCTGTTAGAGTTTGTTCTAAAGAATGGGAGTGTAGCTGAAAATCAAGCTCGGGTATGGTTGAGGTAAATATAATGTTTTTATTATTTTATTTTAATGGACAATTTTAGCATAGTTCTGTTAAAATAAATATAAAGCAGTGTTTGTATTGTATTTACACTTGTAGGCGGTTGACCATTTCTTACTGAGTCTTCTTGTTGTGTTCATTTTGTTTATGATTTACATTTATGTGTCCAATTTGTTTTTGTTTAATTTTAATTTTATTATGCAATCTGTATATTTAATTACATTTATCGGAGAATGCTGCCAAGTTGTTTACTATGCGTCCAAATGTTCATCAATTATGTTGTGGTAAGAACAATTTCGGCTCTTTATAATTCATTTTACTGTTTTAATTACCAAGTCCTTGCGAATGTTCAAGACGTATCTACCATCATATATATATATACTAAAACACGGTTATAAGATGATTTTCCAGAACGCCTATTAAGCGAGAGAAAGGGTATTATGCGGGATAGGGACAATAGTTTCAATGTGCAGGACATACTATGCAAGAAATCGTATTAAGCATGATTGTCTTAACATAATTTTACTATATTTATACATAAATTTTTGCACCTTTCAATATATATGCAGTTCATTTTCGCGCGCAAGACCAATTCTTACGAATTTAGTAACAATATAGAATACAACTGAATATGATTAACTTAAATACGACTACGATTGATAACTAAAATACTATTGAGCTTATTCTTTATAGAAAACTAAACTGCGACTGACTTTTAGAAAAATAAAAGGGGAGTGCCGGAATGCGTCATTGCAAGCTTTTCATTGTGCTCGCTTCAATGTGACTTGAAATCCTTTTCAACATAACATTATTTTACGACTTGTTTGATTAGTCACTGTTTATGCGCGTTTTGTGGTCTAGAAAGGAATTTTATAAACTTTTGCTGGTCTTGTCAAGGATATTTCGAGCTGACAATGTTGTACGTATGATTCACGAAGAATGCTGCGTAGTTTGTATTTTGACCGTTACACAGTGGTTATAATATTATTTATAATTATTATAAATGGGTGCATATTCCTAACAAAAGATAATCTCTTTGTAAATAGTAAAAACGATAGAAAGTATTATTGTCCTATAATCTATCAACAAGAGTAATTAAGTATCTCTATTTTCACATTTTTAATTCTACGGCTATGTATATTTATTAAGCTCACAAGAAATTATATGTGCATGATCATAAATGTGATTGTCAGAAATTATATGTGCGCGATTAGAAAGTCTTATTTAATTCATTTGGACTAAAGCCATACTTTGTATAGGATTCAATACTAATGATTCGATTAGATCATATTTGAACAGAAAATGCAAGTTTTTAAAATATTTGTTTCTGCTTTTCTAAAAAACCGTTGGACCTCACAAAAATCAATTCCTCAGTCTGTAAAAATAAATAAAATATTTTCTGAATCATTCAAATCGGACGCTCCGTTTTCTTAAAAACTGTCTCTAATTGAATTTTTTAAACTGTATCTTCAATACGGCTGGACCCCACTTTGCCATATACGAATACTAAATCAACTTTTCTAAGGTATCAGAATATCTTGAAACGTGAATATATGCAAAAAACTCATTTTAGATTCTTTAGATTTTCGATTACTACTCTTCGGGAAGTCTCAAGAAAATTCGAATGTTTATCTTGTCTACCTTAGAGTTTAAACATGAATATATCTATAAACATCGAATAAATCTATAAAAACCTCTGATTTGATAATGATATTTTATTATCTGTGGTATTATACAAACTTATTGCTTCATTTTTCTTACTGTTTTTTTTTTTAGCATTTTTCTTCTTGTAAATAGTGGGAATATTCTTTACTTATATTACAACCATGGTGCACAATCATTATTGAAAATAAATTAAAATTGTTTTAATTAAATTCAAGTTATTCGTGGTTCAATAACATAGCCTATGGGTTGTTTATATAATTATGAAATATATTATCTTTTTTTATCTATAGCAGTCTATTTTTCTTTTTTCACGAACGTGTAATGTAAATAATATCTTTCATTCAGAGACGCTTCTGATTTACAGACTTAGATATAGAAAATATATAGAAATACATAGAAATAAATAAAAAATGAAAAATATAAATGGTTTATATACGTTTGTGATGTATATATTTATTTATTTATTATTTTATATACTTATCGTTAGACAGGTGGCATTGGCGATTCAATATCTGCACGAGATGGGAATAGCTCACCGAGATTTAAAATGTGAAAATATTTTACTAACGAATAATTTTAATGTAAAAGTGGCGGATTTTGGATTCGCCCGATATGTCATGGACTTCCGGACTAAGAGGCTTCTGGTAAGCGAAACGTATTGTGGATCATGTCTTATGCTGCCCCTGAAATTCTGAAAGGTACTCCGTACAACCCAAAAATAGCAGATTTGTGGTCACTCGGAGTTGTATTGTACATTATGCTCAATAAAGCAATGCCATTTGATGACACAATATTAAAGTAAGTTATTACTCAATTAAGAGCAACATTGTTTAACATCCCGTAGGGTGAGTTGTGGTAATCGCAAAAAAATCGAAAATGAAATTTTTTATATATCTTTACGTTTCAGATGTTTTATTTTGGCATACCTTAGACAAAATGGATGTATGTTGTGTATGTATGTGTTTGTCTCTTGTCTGTATGTGTGTGTATGTGCGGATACAAATTTTCGTCGACGATTTCGGAAACACCGATCAACCGATTTGAATAATTCAAAAAATATTTGATTCATATTAATAAGGAGACGACCTGATTAGTTTTGGTGAAGGCAGGTCTAGCCGTTTCGAAGATACGGGGCAAAAAGCCAAAAACGGTAACTCTTTTTTTAAGAGTACGGAGTGTCCGATTTTAACAATAACAAAAATCATTTTATTTGTATTGACAAATTGAAAAACTGATTAAATTTTGAGAAGGCAGGTCCAGCGGTTATGGACTCTCAATAAAAATAACTTATAAAATGTCATTTCGCGGTCAAATATGTTTATTGGACATATGCACATCAAATTATCATCAGATATTTTATAAAGTTTGTTAATAAGAAATTTTGTTTTGGTTTATTAGTATGGTCTGATTAAAGCGCGTATGTTGTTTGAGAGACCATGAGACCATATACATAATAAGGAGCCGTCCATTATGAAAAAATTAGATATTTGAGAAATTTAAAAATTTTTGAAAAAAATTAACTTTGTTGAAAAATATGATTTTTTTTTATATTCTAATTTTTTAGACTTTTTTTGAAAATTTTGATCATTTTTTATGCAATCGCTCTGCATATTTGGAGTCGAAAAATCAAAGCGCGTAGTCGTTTAACGTGTAAAATTGGTACGGAACCATATAAATGTACACAAAATTCGAAATTACAATCTTTATAAAATATCGGACAATACGATGTACATATGTCTAATTCTAATGTTCATTTTGACCCCTAAATGTCATTATTTTTTACTTTTTTTCTAGGATCTCCGGAGTCGCTAGACATGCCTTTACAAAAATTTTACCATCAGTTGTTCATTTCGTCAATACAAGTAATCTCCGTTATCTCAAAAACTGAACAACCATTTTTCGCACTTTTTGCCTTGAATCTCATCCGAATCGGCTAGACCTGCCTT